TTCTAAATCTCTTTAAAGCAGCAGCACCTGAAGAGCTGGAAAAGGCTCTTGTAGGGGTCCAGCAGTGGAGGACCCAGGTGACTGGTTGGATCTCCCGGGCCAGGAGAGGGCCCTGGCCTGTTGTTTTCTGAGTTTGTGTTGCAGCCACGTTTCTTGGTTACATAGTTGTTTCTAATTATTCAGTTATCAGCAGAATTGTAATCATGCTTGGAGTCATTACTTTTTAACACAAACAGAGACAAAACAAAGCACTGTGACCCTCTGGGACTCTACATTCTTAAAGACTCACACAAGGTTGTCAGATTTACAGAGGGGGCATGGTGTCTCCATTGATTGTCTGATTATTACATTAGTTGCCAAATTGCTAGTACATAGTACATAGTACATAGTACATAGTACATAGTACATAGTACATAGTACATAGTACAAAGTTCAAAGTTCAAAGTTCAAAGTTCAAAGTTCAAAGTGTTTTATAGAGAATAATACTCTTACTGTATTACTTTTTCAGTAATCTACTCTAAAGAATAATGTCTAATTTATATGTGTTTATAAGAAAATAATTATGTTAATTGTTAAATTAACTATTCAGGTTGGGCCAAAAACCAGGAACACAAGACCTTTCAGGCCTGGAGTTTGACACTCCTGACTCACACAGTGTAGAGTTGTTGAATAAGAAAAATGCCTTAATCAGCTGCTGGATCTTTCATTAAAGGATTTGTAAGGAATGTAATCAAGGTACATTGTAAAATGTGTTTTTGTTTAAATAAATGTGCTCATCTGTAATTAAATGCTAGAAACGTAAACAACATGTTGGTGAACTTCATGGTCACCATGATGTTGTGCACTGTGCTGGCCTTAGGACTCATCAGTTGCCCTTCTTATAATCATATAGGCTTTTACTTTGTAGCACGAATGGCTTACCTTATTTATTTTGGTAGCTTTCAAAATGTAAGGCCATGTCATGTGTGGTAAAAAAGAAAAAGAAATGGCCTTTTGAGCTTCGGAGTTCGGTTATGAAAAAAAAACTTTAATTTGTCGGAAAATTATATCAATAAAAATCATAAATATGACAAATAGTACAACTGTTGCTCAGGATTGGTGTAAGCGGTCTCTTGACTACTAGTTTCTGTGCCAACTACTACTGGTATTTAACATTTCAACATTTCATCTGACTATAGTACATAAATATCAATAGTGGAAGCATATTTACCCTCCTAGAATCTCCATTTCTCATAATTAGACTCAGAAAATAATAAGATAAATATCTTAACCACCCAACAGTACTGGACACTACAGACACCTCTGTATTGAACTTTTAACAGAAAAATGCAGAGCCGCGGAGTTATAAGAAACATGCCTGATTCCTCAGGTTTGTGGTCAGTGTTAGTGTGTCGCTGGCTTCAGTAAACACTGCACGGTTGAAAGTGCACAATCACCACTTTGTGCCGCGCTGGGAACAGGCTCCTGAGACTGAAACAACGTCAGCACTGTGACCCTCTCCCCACCTCCTGGGCTCTCCGAATGCACCGCTGTCAGGGATATACACAGGTCTTCAGTCTGCACTAACTCAGCCCTTCGCCTTTCAGCTTCACTTCTGCACCTGTACACACAAATGACAGCCAGTCTTTGTATTTACGGCCAGTTGTCAAAATCTCGTCAATAAAGCTAGAGGACACTAAGGGAAGAGTTCGGTCTTTGTAGTTGCTATTGCTCGCAGTCGAAAATAATGCAGCGTTAGATGAAGAGCTGCTCACACACACGGAAGCTCAATTCCACTTGGTCCTAGATCTGCAGATTCCAGGATCCTCCACCACCTAGGAAAATGCCAGTCAGTTTTCTGTGTGTTAAAAGCCTAAGAACAGTTACAAACGACTGGAGGGTACCTGGTACATCCCATCCAGCCTGCTTATTAGTAGCTTATTGATCCAGCCATTTCTTGACTGAATCCAGGATATTACCTTCAACAACATGGTGGTTGTTGTATAAATGTGTAAAGATATGCCTGTTCTCAGTTTTAAATGCATTTCCCTGCAGTTTCCAACTGTTCTCCGGCTGATTTTTCACTGCTCATTCTGAAGAGGACCGCAGGGTTAACTTTGCCAGCAGCTCTGACAGTTTTGAACACTCAGATCTAGTCAGCTCACCATTTACTCTGTTCAAGAGTTCAAAAAAATTCAGCTGGCCTGGAGCTGTTTCCCAGTTCAGGCCTGGGCACAGAGGAGCTCTCAAAAGAGATAATCATTCCCATGCCCTGCCATACTGTTACTAAGTAACACCTGCAATGAACAAAAATGCATCTGAGAGAAAAAAAACAATCTTCTATTTGTGTGACATTCAAAACACTTCTGTGCCAGGAATTGTTCAAAAGCTCTGTCCATCTTCGAGTTTATTCTACTTTTCTTTCTTGTAAAGAAATGTTTAGAGGCTTGGAAAAAAAGCTTGGGTCTGGTGTGGCTGGCCAGGAGCTGGGCCGGAGAGAGAGTCTGGTGATGGGGATTGCGTAGTGTTCCTGTGTTCACCATGTGAGGTCAAACCACTCATCACCCTGTGCTCAAGCTCCAGACCAGGTGATTTTGGATCAGAGTGTGGTGACTCCTGGCCTGCCATACCTGGGCCGCAGATAATTCAGCAAGTCTGGTTCTGGAAAACACAGAACTTCACAAAGAGAACTGCATGGCAAGAGTCAGCCAGACTATGAAGGAGGATTAAAATGCATGGATCCGATAAATTACCTTCCCAATTAGGATAGAGAAATACCAGCATAACAAACACTTTCAAAACAATAATTCAAGTTCAGATCATTAGAAAATGCACAGGATGCAGTGGGTACAGGAAGTGTCTAAAATAGAAAGCTATTTTATTGTTTTTGCTGTGCTTGGCTACTTTACAAAACAGCGCAAACTTTGTGTACAGTGGGGATTTATCGACTGAGTGTTTATGCAAAGTTTTGTTTTCACTGCGAGGCGGACTCAAGTCTTCTTCCATTACAGAGCTTTCTTTTTTTATTACAGTAAACATTTCCAGTTGTGCAGAACAGCTGTGCTCGGTTTGCGGAGTTTTATCCGGACAAGTTCCTGCTACAAGTATCTTCGCTCGGCTGTATGTTTCAACCCCTCAAGCGTCTCAACAGCGGCTCGGTGTAAGCTAGCAACAAATGCAAGTGGGCACTGGGCCCAGATGCCTCACGGCAGTGAGCAGATGTCAAGACCAAGCAGACTGGAACTTTCCGTCTCCACTCTTCTTATATAATCCTTGCTGTCATCCTTACTGCTTGAAAGGAGCACCCTGCAGTGACTAATATGTCAGACGTACCCTAATGGTAAGTTACAGCACTCTGCGTTACTGCTTTATCTGTAAGCTAAAGTGCCGTTTGATCCCCCAGTAATAATGCTTCTGAAAGATACTGTGCAGTAATGCTCTACTGGCACACTGAAATCCTACCCTGCAGTTCCAAACTCTTTCCTTTCTCTATTGGAAAGGAGTGGCTGCGGATCTGGCCGACTCTTTCCTGGACTCTAACAAGGGAAGACTGTAACTTCCCAGCAAAACTGCTTGCGTAGCACTTCTTAAATCAAGCCATGACAAAGAAAGGCAGCTTGCAGAAATAACGTTCACCATTTGCTTACAGGGGCACACAAAACTCTCTGTCTGGTTACAGCGATTCTGTCTTCTCTGTGCGAGATTTGTGGAAGATCTGATAGTGACAGTCTGCCCACCCCGCCCCCTCCCCTGTCCAATTGTTATGTCTTTGTGACAGACAACTACTTTGCCATCTGTCTGCACTAGAAAAGACTTGTTTTGTCACTGCCTGGTTCTGCTCCCTAATATAGTACCAGCCCACATAGACCTCATGAAGCCATGCAAAGGACTGGAGTGCCAGGGGATCTCAGGAAATAACCATGAAAGAAAAAGTGAAACCAATAAACTGTTTTTGATTGCTACTATTACATCAATACAGAATGAAGAATGTGTGTAACCTTCATCAATCATTGTGAATAGGAGCTGAAGAACAAAAAGACAGATGACAGGCTAATTTCTGCATTCCTCACAGAACCCGGGAAAATCCTTTCTCTTCAGATCGTGAGAATTACAGATAAAACTTAAATTCCCGACAGAGGTCAGAAAAAAAATGTCTGAAACTTACCATCAGAACTCACTGTGTCATTATTGTCTGGGTAAGCCTGCCCCGTATCTCTGTAGTCAACCCAGTTGATCCCTTCCAAACTGTCATAGTTTGATTGGCTATTATCCTCCACTGGTACCACTGTAAAATGGGGCATTTCGTTCCTCACAGATAACGGTAGCTCGGTCCTGCTAACTCTTAGCAACAGTTCAGTGAGCACTCCCTGCCACAGCAGCTAAACTCCAAAATCTCTCACTGCATTCCAGTACAGTTTGGTCACTTCCTCCAGAGGAAATTACCATATTACCCAACTCCACCCATTACCCGGAGCTTGAAAGTTTGCACTGAATAAGTCTGAATTGACAGGAATCATTACAGCCTTCCTCAGGAGCCCTAGCCTCCTTTATGATCTCTACAAAGAAGCAGAGACAATACAAACTCCCCCCCTGCCCCGCCACGCACAGCCAGCTCTCAAACTAGCGGAACACAGAGTTCTCGCACTCAAGTCTCTAAATGAGTTCTGGGTAATTTCCCTCACAACTTTGTTTCAGGCGGAGAGAGAGAAAAAAGGAAAATAAACTGGGAACTTAAGTGATCTCCTTAATTATATTTTTATTTAAAATATAGTATTGCTTAGCGTCTTGGGCTTCTGGTATTTTCTCCTTTTCCAAACCATTGTTGTATCTGTACCATTTAAAATGTGTGACTCTTTTTAGAAATGTTTTGACTGGGCCGCAGAATATTAAAAATCAGCCTGCTCAACTGGAAGATCAACTGGGGATAGAAAAAAAAGCACTTATACTGAATGTGGAACAAATGTATTTTTTATGGAAAACAAAAATGATCTTATTCCTTCCACCCCCAGCTGAAATGTAAATGTAATTGCGCTTGTAACCGGCATGAGACAGAGGTGACGTAAGTTTCCTTCAAAAACACATTTTCCCACAAAAGTTAGTTGGTCTCTGGATTGCACAAGTGCTTCTGATAGACTTTTTAAACACGTTGTAAACAGTCGCACAATTAATCCACTACACACTTAATTCACACTACTTGTATATACAACCCTTACAAATAATAATCTATGATTATCTTGTGTATTTTTTATTGTTGTTGTCGTTCAGTAAAGCGCTTTTAGAAGCCACGTTGAAAGGCGCTATATAAATAAAGTTTATTATTTTTTTTTTCATCATCTTCCTTGGTCACTCTTCCAGTTTTGAAGCTAGATATAATCAGCACCAACTAAGAAATTGAGGGCGATATATTTTTATTTCTGCACTGCCGGAGACACTTGAATTAAAACTGTAGACTTTTAACTGGCTTTTTCCTAACCGCAAAACGAGGGTGTTGTTTTCGGGATCCAGATGCGTATCCGGACGCCTACCAGACCTCTGAACCCAGCGGCACCTCCGTGTGACGTCACGCCAGCCGCCCCCCCGGACAGACTTCGCTCGCTGAAACCCCGCCTGTGGGTGGGGTTCGGCAGCGGAGGGTGGCTACAGGCAACATAATTCACACCTGAAGAAGGCTGCACAGCCGAAACGTTGTTTTATTTTCCCCTCTTTTCAGCATGGAATAAGCCTTTTACTTGTTCCATTAAAACACAACACCGTCTTTGTCGACTGTAGCAGTCCGATTACAACCTCAGTAACCAGCAGTTTCAGTCTCGCACTCGCCTGTACAATACTAAACTCTTTCTTTTCTGCAACGATTGGTGTTAATAGTTGGCATGATCTGCTGTCTGCTGTTCTTCTGTTAGCGCACTCTACCTTACACACATTTCCCTGCAACTGAATAACAATAATTATGAGCAGGGAGAGATCAAAGCAGATGAGCTCTACACTTTCAAGGCCTGTAATCAAAATTCATCTATGGAGCAGCTGAGGTTGAAAAATAACGGCCCTTCGTTCCCCACTGGGTGCGATTATTTAACTTCAGTCTGGAGATCATTCAACAAATGCTAAGAAAATGTGTACAAGGTGGAGAAGCCCTCTTCACGTTTCCCGATTCCTACTGTACTGTACAATACTCACCATCCACAACCCGCTGGTCCACACGGTCGCTGAAGAGGACAGTTCTCAGCACTACAAACCTTGGTGTCCCCTGGTTTGTGGAAGCACACAAAACGATCTTCATTAATGCTAAAGCCTTTTCCGCCTCATTCATTTATGTTTGCATGTCCGCGAAAACGTTAGAGGGTGACTTCAGAGACGCTACTGAGACTGAATTCTGTTTACTTTGACTCAGACGGGGATACTCCTTCATCATAGAAATACATTAGCTTTCTCTCCTTCACGTTTTGAATCCAAAAATTGAAAGGAATGACAATTGCCAACGATTAAATACAAAAGATTTAAGGGACAGAAAATCTTTCTTCTCCGACTAATCAAAAATCGGGTCTTACCAGAGCTCTACAGTGAGCGTGCAATTGTGTAGATGACATATTGGAAATAAACGCGCTCTAATTCATAAGACTGGAGAATTTTCATTAATGTTTAATTTGACTAAACAAGGGATTCAGGGCGGATCCAAGTGAGTGTCTGTGGTTGAACAGGTGTGTGATAAGCCTCTCGCCCTCTTTTTAAACACGCCTCCTGCCGGAGCTCTGCAACACACGAAAGATTGCTTTTGAGACACTACGCACTGTTTAATCCGATGCAAACTTACACTTAATTTAAAGGAATATAGCGTGTGGTACGAGTGCAATTATACTGGTGACGATAGACATGTCCCCGGTAAGATAGTGAATTTTACCTCCTCTCCAGAGCGGGGGCATTTTGTGTCCAGCTGAGCCTTGTGTGTCAGCTGACGATTTGAGTGGGTAATCTGCCCACCCTCACTGAGTCATTACCGAGAACCCGGCAGCTGTACAAAGACCCGCTTTCCAGGAAGTCCACAATTGCCGCTATGCCTGTTTACTCATGGAAGGAGACTTCATAACTCTGGTGTGGAACATTTTCGCTGTCTACACTTTTTCCCCTTTCTTTCCTGAGTATGTGGGCTAGCATCACAGAAGACGGTAAAATAACAGTGACACAACACTGCAAAGGCAGAATACGGTACGACCCCTGTAACAGCCCCTTGTAATGCAAAGCACCATGCATTCCTAAGAAGCGCTCTGATTTCACAAGGTTATCACTGCTATCTGTTTCCCGACTGGTGCTTCATTAAGCAGACCTGCCCTATCACATGGGTCTAGAGGAAGACTGCTTTAAGGAGAAGGACAAAACTTAATCTCCTACTGACAGTTTGATAAGATAATCCTTCAACAATTTGCCCAAGAGGGTTTATTGTTTCCTCTTGCTGATATTATGTTGTTCATTAAAGGAAAATGTTAATGTCAAGAAGTGATAAAGGAGGCTTGGGGCTATATTAACAATTTGTAGGCATGCAGTGACCAGCGTATCTGTCAGGGACTGGTGTGTGTTTTTTTCCTTTTGTGTGTCTGTTTTAATCACGGTCTCTAAGTGTTCCCAGCCTAAACAGTAGTGCAGTTAACAATCGACAAAGATTGAGCCATGACATCCTGTTGGCCTGTTTGCCTGGGCACCTGTTAATTACCACACAGTCAGTGGTGACAGCAGACCGTGTGAGGACACTGACTGGGCTGGACTGTCCCTGGGACAAGGGGACAGAGCACAGGAGACAGAAGGAAGTGAGAAAGCACCGTGACACCTGGTCAGAATCATACCAGACATCGGTTCGCTAATGTCTTATGTGTTGCATGTAAAGTAGTTCAGGGCGACACAAAGAGCCTGTTTTGGAGAGAGGAGTCCTGGCAACTTTAATAGTGCCGTGTGGTTCAGTTGGCTACAGTCCCTTCATGTGGAACTACAGTGAAAATCGAAAATAGAAAGTGAAGAACATGGTTTGAAATACATTTTAATGATAATAAAGATCTTTTAAAAAATACAGATGTAGTAAAGCCTACTGACAGAAAAGGGAACATCATATATATATATTCCTTTGTCTGTTACTGTGGATGACGACAACAACAACAACAACAACAACAACAACAACAACAATAATAACTCCACTCAAAGAGCTTTACAGGTAATGGGGATCCCCTCCACCACCACCAGTGTGCAGCCCCACCTGGATGATGCAATGGCAGCCAGAGTGTGCCAGTACGCTCACCACACATCAGCTCTCAGTGGGGAGGAGAGCAGAGTGAGGAAGTCAGTTCAGAGAGGGGGATTATTAAAAGGCCATGATTGGTAAAGGCTGGGCGGAAATTTGGTCAGGACTCTTGGGTTACACCCTTACTCTTTTTGAGAAACGCCCAGGAATTTTTAACAACCACAGACAGTCAGGACCTTAGTTTACGTCTTATCTGAAAGACGGCGCCTTTTTACAGTATAGTGTCCCCATCACTATACAAGACTAGTCTATACAATCTCCTTATTACACATCTTATTACATTAAAACGTGTAATAAAGAATGAGAGAGGAGAGTTAGTGAGCTGCGGCCTGGATTGACAAGGTTGTCATCTAATTTGTTCAGCATATCACAGGATGGGGTTCCAGGAGCCAAGAGGTAGTGAGGTTTAGTACAGTATATCAAAGGAACCACAGGGAGATCCATTATCAGAGTCAATATCTACTCTCTCGAACAAGCCAGAGCTGCTGATGCACATGCACGCAGATGGTGGAGATTTCTGGGGAGATGTTTGTCTGTTTGTTTGTTTGCTGGGAGGCTGAAGCATCTTCTTTTTACTTAATGAAACCACAATAGCTAAATTATTGTTGTGATCTGTGTATCAAATTGATGGTTCAGAATCAATCAATCCAATCCCAGTCTCCTCACTTATGTAAACCAGACACCCTGTAGAACGTTTCCCCATCAACATCAGTGTGCTTGAAAGGCCACACTACACAGCCAGGAGACTTGAAATGAAAGTCATCACAGTATTCTCAGGCGTTACTGCTGAAATGCACCTGTGCAGTAGTAAAAACAGGTTATTTCCTGAATGCAGGGCCATCTGTACAGGTTGTTTGTGATCTCTCCACCTTTTTCCACGTGTCTCTGATAATAAAAGACAAAAGGCCTCTTTGGAGATTAAATTTGGGGATGGTACTCATGATCTCTCTACGACTCTGTCACAGACTTCTCCTCCTACCTAGGTGTAATAAAGGAGAGTAACAAATTCACATGTACCCT